TGGCGTGAGGCACCGCACATTTTCACGTCAAGTTTGGATTTTATAAAACACAACCTTGGCATAAAAAGTGGCGTACGCAAGTTTCTGGGTTCATATTGTGTGTACGCAAGTTTTATAAATCCGACCCCTGGTTTTTATTTAATACTAAACGGATTTGACAGAAAGGACAAAAAAACAGCTAAATAAAAATAAAAATCAGCCTTGAGTTTTATCCCTGAACTTGAAACGCTGCCAGTTCCTCTGGTAAAAGATTTATTTTTTGCAGGCTATGCAGAAATAAACAGGGTTTTTCGCCTTGTTTTTTTTTTTTCCTTTTTTTTCTGACATTTGTGCGAATCCTGTGCAATGAAAAGCTTTTTATCTCCACGCTGACAGGGCGACATAAAGAAAATATCAAACAGAATTTCTTTAATACAGTTTGTTACTTTGCCTTTGAGTCTTAGAGCAGCAGCAGAAGTTGCGATCCATTTTAGTCTCCATTTAAAGCACTGAGGTTAATAAAGTCGTTTTTTTAATACTTACATATGCATTGGCGTATTCAATTTTGGCTCCCTTCAGCTCAACTTTGAACTGGGTAAAAAACAGGTATGATTTCCCCTGAGGCCTGGCAGAAATGAAACAAGAAATATTAATCAGCATTTCATCGATCTGAGGGCATTTAAACCACAGCATTTGAGTTTTTAGTTTTAGTTTCTGCGACTGCCACAGATGAATAAATTTAATGTTACTCAGCATAGGCACAGATGGGACGGCGAGCCCACCACGGTCAGCTCACGAGAGCCTAAGTGTGGGCAGGTATTACTCACGCCGTAAGGACAAACATCGTTATGCTACGGAGTTTTCCATCCATATCAGGACAAAATAAAAGTTTTTAAGTCTTCTGATTGGCCGTGACTCACCTCCACAAAGAGCAAGAAAACAGTCTGTCGTCATCGCTCAGGCCCACACTCATCAACCATTGCTGGTTAAAAAGAAAACAATATTTTACTGCTGAATCATCTGGGATCACTTATCAATAAAAAACAAAGCAAGAGACACAAACTTCATTGGTTCCCCCTTGTGAGGCGTAGGTGAACGTGCACTTGTGATCCCTCTGAAAAAGAGACATTACATTTATAATCAGATTTATTTTTCTTCTGTTCCTGACTTTAACTGTGGAAATTTAACTTTTAATCTTCAAACCAGAAGTTAGAATTGTTTAGATATTATTTTAATCTAAGATTATTAAAGAAATATAAATAATCTTTGTACCTTTCAGTTGGCTTTTGCCATAAAATTATATTTCTGCATGTTTTGTTCAGATCAGACTCATTTTTCATTTGGCTTAATTAAATCTCTAGTGATACTCAGCACTGTTTTATAAACTACGTTTTTTCATAGGAATTTAATAAAATGAGACTACTGGTGGTTATACTTTAGGGTCTTTACCGTTAACAATAAGTATTTATTTGTAATCATTCATGAGAGACTGAAATTATTTTGAAATTTATGGCTTTGGGTATTCACAATTTTATAGCTTAGGTAAAGTGAATAATACAATCCTAATCAGTGCATTAAACAAATGTTACTTATTTTAGATAATTCACAATCAGATGATCAATTAAACTGAATTATAAATAAATAATTATAATAACAATAATACTAATCTTGCAAGTCTTATGTGGTGTACAGAAGTGGAGCTTATACTATCATTTACATGGAGGACATTTGTCACAACAGTCACATCAAACAGCAGAGTCAGTTCATCTTTTGATTAGGAACATCTGTGCTTTTTACTAACCTTTAATGTGCATTGTAATATAAATTTACTAAATTTTGAACAAATGACTGAAATACATGGAAAAAAATATAAAAATTTATAGCTGAGAATTAGCAAAACGAGGCTGACAGGAGTTGCAGTGTAAAAGCACAATATAAGCTAAGAAAAGCAGAGCAGCATTAGCAGTTGTGTTATTAGCATAAAAATGTTACAACTGAAATCAAAAGCAAGTTTTAAGAGTTGAACAGTATTTTATTCCTTTTCAAAGAAACTAAAACAGAAAAAGCTAAATAATTCTGAAAGGATAAATCTCACAAAAACCAATAAGACTGTTTCTAATGAGGTGTTTTGATATTTGGTAAAACGTACAAAAGCCGGACAAAGTATGATAATAACAAAATGAAACAGTCATTCTGCTATTATCAAAATTAATTACTTGTAGCAGTATTTTATGGGAATATATTCATACAAAATCAATCCAAAAACCAGTTCAGCCATTCAAATTTGGTCCAATCAGAGGAGTCGTTGTGGCAGCTGGGCAGCGACGTGTCAGCGATTTACAGGCCGTGTCGTCATCAGTCCGCGACACCATCGGACCAACGGAATGTAGTTTTTCCACTTGTGTTGTTAAACATATCAAAATTTGATTCGTTTTAAGCTAACGCAGACTACTTTTACACAAAAAAATTTAGACTTTTGCTAATATCTTCTGACAGCATGCCAATCGTAAAGAAAAAAGTAGTGAGCGTTTAATAACACGTCAAATTCAAAACCTCAGGAGAGATGAAAAACGTTTTGAAATTTAATATCACTTCAGAATTTCGTTTGTGCGGCGTGTTGCATTTAAAAAGTAACTCAAATACAAGCAAATGATAGAATGCAGCGACTTACGATTCTCTCAGAGAAAACGTGCACCACTCCTCCCGGTTTCACGTTGAACTCCACCGTTTTCGTATTAGGCGAAGTTTCAGCCGGGACAGATACTGATATTAACGCACAGAGGAACAGAAGCATCATGTTGGCAACAGGAAAGTCTTTTCGGGTAGTCATCTCTGTTTCTTCCCGGTCTGTGTGAGCGGCAGGCAGCCGGAGTGTCCCGTCGACTGGAAATGACGTCACTTTGGAGTCAAACATGCACACAAAAAATGAAATTAAAAAAAACAGTGATTTCTAAAATTAAAAAAAGAAT